TTTATCCAATGACTCCACAACCGTGTTATCTACAATCAACCTTACTCTCCCTTCTCAGCGTCCAAACGCTTCAATTCTAGAGTGTAGGGGTCCGAGCTGCCGGCGATTGACTCGCCTGCCTCTCCGGAGCCCCCAGCTGCCTTCAGCTGTGCCGTCCCCGCGGCCTTCTCCCCTTCCTTGTCCCCCGCACCCTCCTCGCCCTTCTCCTCTGTTGTCCCCTCCTCACCCTCTGCAGGCTCCTCCCCGCCCTCCTCCTCCTCACCCTCTGCAGGCTCCGACTCGCCCTCCTCACCCTCCGCCGCGGCCTCCGCAAGCTCGTCCTCGATCTCGGCCCTCTCCTCATCCTCATCCTCCGCAGACTTATCCCTGCCGGTGTCTCCGGCTACCGACTCTGCATACTCCGCGGTCTTCTCCTTCCCCTTCAACTGTCCAGCTCCGGCCGTCTCCGTCGGGGCCGTTTCTGTCGGCCCCTTCTCCACCTGCTCTTCTGCTGACCCGTCGGTACCCCCCCACTTCTTCCCGGTCTTCGAATCCTCGAGCAATCCAGGGAACGTCTCCTTGGCTTCGGAGTACGTCGCGAGGACTTTTAAGCCGGCCTTTGAGATGGCCGACACCTCCCTGCCCCCCTTGGCGTTGAGCACGACGGCAGTCCCACCGCGCGGCGGCACCCCCCCGACCAGGCTCGTCACCATCTTGGTCGACAGCCCCTTGCCAGAGGCCTCCCACTCAAGGAAAGAGTAGGGCTGAACATGACACGGCAGAGAGGAAATAATCAACTTTCCCGTTAAAGCATAACATGCAACATCACTCACAGCTCAGTCCAAGGAGGCTGGACTACCGAGCCTCGGTAGCAATGACGAGTAAAGAGGAGCAACAACATGCTTTGCAGATTGCTACCGAGTCTCGGTAGCAATGCCTCAGTATCGAGCCTCCTTCCAGCTCGCTATTTGTTCTCCCCTGATCCGTTTATACCGAGCCTCGGTAGCTTGTATGACGATCCCTATCAAACGGACTACACAAGTTCCGTTTCCTACCGGGCCTCGGTAGGAGGACCGCAATTGGAGTGCGCACCTCCATGCCTTTTCCAAAAACAGTCACTCCTTCACGATTCGAACAAATGAGCGTAAAACCCAAGACACTCTCAGGCCAATGACACTTTCAGACCAAAAGGGAAGACAAACTTTGCATTACGCAGAAACGGGACCGTACCTTGTACGAGCCGTGCTTCTTCAAGATTCCGTGGAAAGGTACCCCTTCAAGAGTGTCCCTCCACGCACTTCCCTTCACCATGGACGTCAGGTCCGACGCCGCCACCGTCACGTAGTAGACGTGGAACGTGTTGCCCTGGCAGCCGTACACGTGCTTGGTCGTGTCCTGCAAGCAAGTCGGAAGGCACGTTCAATTGCTATCTTTCCAATAGTCCTATTTTGCCATGCCGTAGGAAACCAGCAGGACACACTACTTTAGGAATAAGTTGTGTTCAATTGTCCTCTGGCGTTAACCACAAACAACCAACTCTCAATTGATCTACATGAATGGCTAACTATTATTCAACTATAGGACCTTCTCACCTTCGACTTCTTGAAATCCATCACCAACGTAACAGTCGATCTCACGGCGGTGACCATCCCAGTGTAACTCGTCCCCTCCAACGCCGACTCCGGGAACCCCACAGGTGCCACCACCACCAGCACCCCCGCAGGCGTTAGGAGCTTCTTCGCTAGCTCCAGCGCCCCCAGCACCTCGTCCGTCTCCCACGGCCGCTGCTGCCGCGGGTCATACTTTGCCGCCTCCGGGTCGGTAAGCACGCACCGAGGCAGCGGCACGTTGAACCACACCAGGTCCACCCCCTTCTTCTTCTCCTCCCAGTCTCCGTCGTCAAGCAGCCACAGATACTCCAATCCCTCCACCAGCTTCGCTACCGACGGCAAAACGAAGGAGTTTGACTCCTCCACCACGTTGTAAACCTCCGTCGAGCTGATGGACAGGCTTTGCCTCCCCTCTCCCTCCCGACCCTCCTCCGCGACGTCCTCTACTCCAATCTGGACGTTCAATTTGTACGCCCCGACCTTCCTCGTGATGTATTCCCGCCCCGTTTCCTTCCCAAGCTCGATCAGTCCCTCCGGAACTTCCCCCCCACAGTCCCTCTCTAACGGCACCCCGAGCTTCTTCTCGTCCTCGAGATTGTACACCGTCGCCGGTGCTGATTCAACCTCCCACTTTCCACCAAACACAGCCCCAGTCGCGATCGCCTCTAGCACGTTCTTACGCAGGTCCAGCGCCTCCGGCACCCCCGAGTACAGCCCCTGCGCGTCCGTCCAACCCTCCGACGGCGGGAATAGCCACTGTAGGTACTGGCAGACCGACCTCTTGCCCGCCTCCTCCACGTCCTTGCTCTTCTTTGTCTTGGCGCTCGCCTTCTCCTTGCACTCCTGCCCCTGCCCGAACATGTACCGCGCCAAGTGCGCCCCCTTCTTCGTCTTGCTGAACGCCAGCCTCATGACCCATTCCGGGTACTCCACCGACTTCTTCACCCGGAACAACGCCTTCGCATCCGTTGAGGCGAAGTTCCACGAGATGTCCGGGGTCCCGTCCTTCGACACCGGCTCATCCTTCAGGATCTTCAGCCTCCGCAGCCACTGCAGCCCCTCCCCCATGACCTCGTACGCGTACCCCAACCCCTTGCACATCTGCCGTATCTTCTCCAACGACCTCCCGAACCCCTCTTCTTCCGCTTGCGCCGGCTTCTTCACAAAGATTCTCCACACCGCTTCCTCCACCCATTCCTCACTCAAGCCCGTACCCACCAGCGTGTACAGGTCCTCCTTCCCCAAGCCCTCTGCAATCTCCGTGTCCTGGGTGATGGCTTCTAGCGCCTTCTCGTACCCCGATCCCGCCGCGTGGTTGGCTGCCGTGCAGAGCCTCCGCATCTCGCTCTGCTTCGCATTGCACATCGAAGCGAAGGGCGTGGAGTCGGGGGGGTTGTCTGCCTTTTGCCAGCCCGCCACGTCGTCCCTATAAGCGCACCAAAATCACATTAGTTACTGCCAAATCTCTCTATCAGATCGCCACGAGATTCTCAAATACAGCATGCTGCCGATGCTCCGTAGCAAAGTACTATTGGTCTGGATGCACCCTACCGAGGCTCGGTAACAACGGACTGATCTGGAGCGGAGTGCCACATCCGTATCCCCTCTGTCACGAAGGGTTGGATGCACTATATACCCCTTATAACGAGTCCCGCTACCGAGGATCGGTAGCTATCGAGAAACCAAGACTATCATCCCTTCTACGAGCCCCTACACTTGCTTTGCTATGGTCTAAAAGATCTGCTCGCTACCGAGGCTCGGTAGCAAGCAAGTTCTTGTCTAAAGTGGCCTTCATTGAAGAAGTAGAATGAACCATGGTCAACTGTTTGGAAGAGCTTTCCTGCTTGCTACCGAGCCTCGGTAGCAAGCACGGAATCAACGTCACAAAAGTAAAAGCAAACTTACTCGAAGACGGGGTCCACCATCATGGCCACCAGGAGCTTGGCGATCTTCTCCACTTTCTCCGACCCCACGGGCTTGTAGTAAACGTACTCCAGGCTCAGCTTGTTGCCCGCCATTGTCGACATCGCCTCCAGCGTCTGCATTATGTCGTATTCGATGTTAGCAGAACGTTTGAGACCAGTTTATGTGTACCTCGCTCAATTTCAACTCCTTCGTAGCCTCCCCATGTATCCAGCAATCTGCATCCTGGCAGCGGCAGCAACAACACCTACGCATATTGCCTGTGACCCATATTCAGCGCAACACTTTCAGAGTCTCTACATTGGTATTGTCCTAATATTCTTACCTTGGGCGGGAACCGCTCTTCCACTTGGTCTGCCGTGAGATTCCTCAACAGCTTCCTGACTGTCATGATCTTGAGCGGGATGGTCTGCTTCTGGATGCCCTGCGAGGTTTGCTCGTTGATTGCGTTGCAGGACGCCAGCAGCTTCCCCATCATGTCCGATGACGCGTCCAGCAGTTGCACCTTCACCATCGGGTGCCTCTTGCCTTGGGGGTCCAGCTTCAGGGAGTGGAAGTTCGCTTTTTGCTCCTCCCTCACCGCTTCCACCCTGAAAATGGGAAAG